GAAATGTATTTTCAGATGCCAAGTAAATTGCATCATGCCCCCTGACCCCCATGAGCACCCCCCTACCCACCCCCCCCCCCAGCGAGACAGAAGCAAAGGAGGTTCTTAAAGAGACAGAGGCTAATTTCAAGGCGTTCAGAAGAGGAAGTGATGAGAAGATAAGTTCATTTTCTATTTAAACATAAAAACAGTGTTTTAATAACAACAAAAGGTGACGTTGATACTTTATTATGGTATAGTATTTAAATTTATGCCTGAGAAGCATATGTTATTGGCCCTTTAACAAATAAGAAACTACTCACTGCATCAGTTAGAGTAAAATAACTCATCAGCTGAAATATAACCACCTATGCAGTAATTAAGCATTGGGAGGCATTTACGTATTTGCTGGGTTAAATCCAGGTGGTGACCCTTTTTTATTTTTTATTTTTTGGCCAGGCAGTGTATTTTACTAATTGTACAGACAAACAGATGTGCAAAAAACATTTGCCTTCAGTAGCGGGCAATAATCTAAATCAAAGTTTGAATTTTTAGCAAGTGTTACGTTCCCCTTGCGCCGTGCATAGATGTAAACACGCCCCCTGATAAATCGTCCATGGTGACGGGAACATGATTACACGGAGCTGCGGCAGTAGACCATTCAGCAGGCAGACGAAGCGCCATGTCACCTCTAAGAGGCCTGTGAATAAATGTCCCTGTCTCTACCAAGGCCCACTTCCTTAATCAGGGTGTCRGATGGTAATGATTAGCTTCCTGCGCGCAGCGTCCCCAGCTGCTGAATCGTCCGCATAACTCACACGCTGTTAATAATCTGCCGGGATAGACGATGCCCTTCTTTACTTTTCGGCTTATTCCCCCTCCTAATCTGAACCCCTTTCCAGCTTCTTTTGAATTAAATTTCATTTATTATGACGAGTACTTTCCCCGAATCAGGCCATCCTTCWTTTGCAAGGATACATGGATGCATGGTGATTGCATCTAAATCCCCTCGCAAGGTTTAACAATGCATTTGGGCCAGAGCACCAAAGAAGCCGAGACACCGGCGGTGGCTCTTCTGCCTCAGGTCACGGCTTGGGAGGGAGGTGGATTAAAGAAGCCTCATTTTATCCGAGGTCCATGTCCAAAACCGGGATTAGTGACATGGATGAGGATTAGAGTTATTATCATACTCAACAGTCTGGCATCTGTTTAAGGGCACTGGTCCTTGAAAAAAGCATATTTTGCTATTAACCATATGCCATTTGAGGATTCTGCTCTTGTCTTGCGCTGAGCAAGCTGTTGATTTTTAGAACCACAAGAAATAACTCGAGTAACCTGTTTTCTATTTTTGCTATGAGCTGATATAATTGAACCTTTTAGGAATTATAAAAAAAAGCTATTTTAAATAAAATCTCAATGGGCCTCATGCAAGAACATGTTCGTATTCTTCTCCTAAATTTCTCTTACTTTTGTTCGTACAAAGGGTTCGTACGAACATGTCACGTCAGATTCAACAAACTCTTCTATCT